TTGGGCCAGTGAAGCAACGTCCTCCGCAACTAGACTGAAGAACAAAAGGATAGCAACTTGTCTGTTCCCCTTCCCCCAATTCCCCATTGCTGTTCCCATCCCCCAATTCCCCAATAAAAATGTTTTAAAAAAAAGAAAGGCGTTCTGCATGTCCCCAGCTTAGGATCCAATCTGCACATAGTTGTTGTTAGCTTTTACCAGTGAAACCCCTAAATCTAAGACAGATTAAAGACAGTTTAGTTTCTGTGATTGAATTGCAGAGCCTATTGCTTGGTTTTTCCTCCCCACATTAGGTAGCCTCTGAAGTACCCTTCCTGGGAAGCATTTGAGAATCACTATTTCAGACAACATAAAGCCCTTAAAAGGAAAAAATAGAGCCCTAGACTATTTGAGTCGATAACATATGGTTACCTTCACTAAAAATACGATCCTCACCTTGACTTATTTAATATTCAGGTAGTATAAAGTCTATAATGCATTTGTCTATTTTCAGGTATAACCTTAACTTTAACCCAGACAGCAGCAGAGCTGTTTGCTGATATCTCACGCAATAGAAGCTCTGATTTTGGATCCAGAGTCCGCAAGGTATTTCTAATAATAGTTTACCTTAAAGAGCACTTTCAAATATGTTATCTTACCTAATCATTGCAGCATCATTACGAAGAAGAGACAAAGAGAAAGAACTTCTCCAACATTTGCCTAAGGTCACATACTAGTTACACAACCTGGATTTTTTTGAATTCAATGTGTACTTACCTCTTGCCTCTTGTTTTCCCAACATTGGCCTAGAAAAATAAGTGGGAAGAAATTTGAATTTGAACATTTTTTTCTTGTATATTACAACTAAACTTGGGTATGAAAAATTGAGTTAATATAATTAAGCTTAAGCTTGACATTTTTATTCTTTGGTTTCCCAAGCAAGAAGACATTCCGGTTTTTTACTTTATTAAATTCTTCTCCCATCCCCCATTAACTGATTATTTAAAATATTTTTATAAAAGAGTGACCCATCTTTTTTCCATTATAGTATTCTGTTTTGTAATATGCATTTTCAGTTGTCTATAATTTCCAGTCTAGTAAGGCCTGTGATTCCAAGACTAGCTTCTTCAAAGAGGATATAATCAACAGTGCATTTTAAATATCTCCACCCTAAGGCATTGACTCGCCATTTCTTTTCAGGGCAATAACAAGATCCTTGCCTTCTCTCGGACTAGGCTGTTCTCAGACTAGGCTACTTGGCTATTTTT